GGGTGCTGGATGGTGGAGGCTGGGGCTGGGTGCTGGATGGTGGAGGCCGGGGCTGGGTGCTGGATGGTGGAGGCGGGGCTGGGTGCTGGATGGTGGAGGCGGGGCTGGGTGCTGGGTAGAATGGCCTGGGCTGGATGTTGCTGCTGGAATTGGCAAACTGGGCAGCAGTGGACATCCAGCTCATGGCCGATGCCATCGGTCACATGAAAATGGTGGTGCTTGGACTCAATGTCATGCATTTGGTTTGTCCAGCCATTCTCTGTGTACTCCCTTGTTCTGTTCCTTTTTCTAAAGTGCAACATCTCACAATTTTCAGTGTTAAATTTTATCTGCTACTGATCTGCTCATCTACCTACATCTGACTACATCTTCGCAGAACTTAACAACTTTCTCCTCACTGTTAACCACCTATCCAATCTTCATGTCATCTGCAAACTTACTTCTCATCTCACCACATTCTCATCTATATTGCTTACATATATCACAAACAATAAAGAATCCAGCACTGACCTTGAGGTGTTCACTGGACACTGGTCTCCAATCACACAAACAGCCTTCTACCATCACCCTCCATCTCCTGCAACTAAGCCAATTTTGGATCCATCTTGCCAAGTCACCTATGTGCTTTTACTTTCTTTATCAGTCTCCCATGTGGGACCTTGTCCAAGACTTTGCTGAAATCCACATAAAATACATCAGCCTCACTACCCTTATGAATGCACTTGATCACCTCCTCTGACTACACTAATTCTATTTTCAAGCTCTTGGCACAAAGCCCCTGAGACTTTGCTGCACAAGTAAATATCTAATTACTGCTTCAATGTTGTGAGACATTCTGACTCAACCTCCCTTTTAGGCAGGGGACTTCCAGACTCCAATCACCTGTGGGTGAAAAGAAAATTCTCTTCAACTTTCCTCTTAGTCTTCTATCTCTACGTTAAATTTATCTTCCCGGGTTATTGACCATTCTACTAATAGAAAATAGATATTCCTATCCACCCTATCCATGCACCGCAGAATCTAATACACCTTGATCAAGTTCCTTCTCAAGATTCGCTGCTCCAAGGTAGGAGTGAAGGAGGGGCTGGAAGGCTGGGACTTTTTTTCACTGGAGCGTTGGAGGTTGCGAGATGACTTTATTGAAGTTTATAAAATCATAAGGTGAACCGCAAAGGATTTTTCCCTAGGATGGGGGAAAGGTTTAGAGGAATATGGGAGCCCCGGCCTTCACCATCCAGCACCCAGCCCCGGCCTGTACCATCTTTCCTCCTAGTTCAGGCAGCATCGTGGTAGATCTCCTCTGGACTCCGTCCAGTGCAATCATATCCTTCCTATAATGTGGTGACCAGAACTGCATGCAGTACACCAGTTGAAGCCTAACCAGTGTTTTATACAATTCCAGCATAGTCTCTCTGCTCTTGTACTCTAAGCATCGACTAACAAAGGCAAGTATCCTAAATGCCAGCAAAACAACCTTATCTACCTATTCTGCTACCTTCAGGGATCTGTGGATTTTTACACCAAGATACCTTTAACTTTCAATTCGTTCCAGGGTCCTACCATTCATAGTGTAAACTCTTGCCTTGATAGCCCTCCCCAAGTTCATTACCTTACACTTTTCTGGGTTGAATTCCATTTGACACTGCTGTGCCCAGCTGACCAGTCCAATGATACCCTCCTGCACTTTACGGCTATCCTCCTCTATATTTATCACACAGCCAATTTTCATGTCATCTGCAAAACTCTTAACCATGGCCCTTACATTTAAGTCCAAATTATTAATGTACACCACAAACAGTGAGGGCCCCAGCACTGAGCTCTGCAAATCCCACTGGAAACAGGCTTCCAGTCTCAGAAGCATCGCTTTACTATCACCTCTGCTTTCTCCCCCTCAATAAATATTGAATTAAACATGCCTCCTTGCCTTGGATCCCATGGGCTCATACTTTCTTGACCAGTCTGCTGTGAGGAACCTTATTAAAGCCTTGCTAAAGTCCATATACACTATATCAAATATATTACTCATTCACATTCCTTGTTGTGTTGTCAAAAAAAAAATCAAATTTGTCATACGTGACTTTCCCTTAACAAAGCCATGCTGACTATCCCTGACGTACCGTATCACTCCAAACACAGTTACATTCTGTCCTTCAGAATTCTTTCTAATGTGTTCTAGTGTGTTGAGAGAGCATTTGAGTACAGGACCAGGAATCTCTTGCTGAAACTGTACAGGGCCTTGGTGAGAACACACCTGGAGTATTGTGTACAGTTATGGTCCCTTATCTGACAAGGGATATTCTAGCTACAGAGGGAGTGCAACAAAGGCTTCTTGGCCTGAATCTGAAATGGCAGGACTGATGAAGAAGCCCGAAGGCTGGGACTTTTTTTCACTGGAGCGTGTGAAGTTGAGAGGTGACTTTACTGAAGTTTATAAAATCATGACGGGTAGAGATAAGGTGAACAGCAAAGCATTTTTCCCTAGGATGGGGGAAAAGTTTAGAGGAATATTGGCCAAACGCAGGTAAGATGGACTAGTTTAGTTTGGGAAACTTGGTTCGGCATAGACAAGTTGGACCGAAGGGTCTGTTTCTGTGCTGTATGACTCTACGTATGAAGAAAGACTGGATTGGTTAGGTTGATATTCAGTAAAGTTTAGAAGAATGGCAGGGGGAAGCTCGCAAAAAACTATAAAATTCTAACAGGATTAGACAGGATAAACACAGGAAGTTCCCAATGACTGGGGAGTCCAGAACCAGGAGTCACAGTCCAAGAATGTGTAGGCCATTTAGGGCTGAGATGAGGAGAAATGTTTTCACCCAGAGAGTAGTGAGCCTGTGGAATTCTTTACCACAGAAAGCAATTGAGGTCAAAACAAGGATATTTTCATGGAGTTAGTTAGGATTAAAGGGATCAAAAGCTATGAGGAGACAGTAGGAACGGGGACTGGGGACTTATTTGCCATGACCATATTGAATTGCAGAGCAGGCCTGAAGGGGTGAATGGCCGAGTTCCGCTCCTAATTTCTATGTTTCTACAAAGATTACTGCCAGGGGCCCTGATAACTCCCTTGCCGCCTCCAATAGCCTGCAACACACCTCATTTGGGCTAGAGATTTATCCACTTTTAAAGCCCTTCATCTTTATGTTAATTTCTTATAATATTCAACACAAAGCTTCAACACAAACTTTAGAAGGTTCATTTCTTGCATACACTAAGAATTTATTGAGATATTTGAATAATGGCGATCATGTCTAGAACACAGGAAGCCAGCAATCACAAAAAAAGAAAGTGAATAAAGGGTCCTAAGATACCCGCTGTTAAAAGAAAAAGTGCAAAATGCCCTAAACATTGACTGGAAAAAATAATTTCTGCCTGGATTTACCTTACTGGTCCTGATACAAGCAACAGTTTAAATGATAACCATAGATAAGATTAGAAACGACTGAACTGATGTAGTGATGGACAATGCATAATTTATCATAATTTTACAGAAATTTAACTTAACCTATGGATACAAAAATAATAGGAGAAATTTTGCTCACTTACAGTAAGAGAGAGAAATTCTCAGAGAGAGGGAGACAGAGAATTCTCACTAGGAGAGACAATTCTCACAGCTAGAGAGAGGAAGCCTAAGAAAGAGATTCACGGAAATCTCATATCAGAGACATTGGGATAATGCAGAGAAATGGTATTATGTCAAAGAAAAGTTAATAAGTGGATTGGCCAAGCTAAATTGCCCATAGTGTACAGGGATATGCAAGCTAAGTGGGTTAGCCATGGGAAATACAGGATTACAGAGATAGGGTAGGGGACTGGATCTGGATGTAATGTTCTTTGGAGGGTTAATGGGCCAAATGACCTGCTTCCACACTGTAGGGATTCTATTATTCTTCTATTATGTCTGCTGTACTCATCATGACCCATTCTACAGTCAAATAGAAATGACTATTTCACAACACTTGCTGAGATTATTACTGGTCATTGGAAAACACACCTCCATAACTCACCAAGAGAGCTGGTTGACTTGTTATCGAGTTGATTGTTATCAACTTTCACATGTGAGTTTCTCTGAACCTTGGAATTCCTCTTTACTTGAACTGAAGTGTTCTGTGACAGCCTGGGTGCAGACCTGAAAGACTTGTTTTGTATCGATAGCTGATAAAGAAACAACATTACTGATCAGTTGGAGTAAGTCAAAATCAAAGCCAAAACCAAAGAGATCTCATTCTATTATAATGTATATCATACAAGCAAATGATTTAACGATAGAAACCCCATTCCAATTCATTGCAGACATCCCCAAAGTATCCTTTCTTGGAAAAGAAAGCCAAGCTGATAAATTGAACTGGTATGGGTTGGATGAGGAAGTCACCACAGGTTGGTGATGACATTATTTTTCTAAAATTCCCCAGTGACCCTCAGATACCAGCAGGTTGTGGAGACTAACAGTGAAACCTGTACCAGAGACTGCACTATATTTTCAGAGAAGAGTGACCAATTCATTTCATGGCCTTGGGAAGAATGTAAGAAGTCTCAAGAACATTCTCAATCCCTCCACTGCCTCTGTCAATAGACTGTTCATCCCATATTTTTGTGCAGAATGAGCTGATGTTTCATCCAGTTAAATATTAGAAAAATTGAAGTCATTGTTTTTGGCTTCCATCACAAGTTCTGTTCCCTGGCCTCCAGGATAGTCCTTCTTTCTGATCACTGCCTCAGGCTGAACTGGAATTTTGGTAACCGCACTGCCCTATTGGACTCTGAGCTCAGTTTCTGAAAGCCTATCCACCCTGTCACCGAGCCTGGCCACTTGGCCCTTCCAGAATGGAGGAAGATAGGAAATTCTACATGATACATGTCAGAGGATCACCTAGTTTCATCTTCTCCCATTCAGATAGGTGTATTAAGATCATATTGCTGCTATTAACTATTCACTCCAATCACCTTAATCAATCAAAGCCTGTGGTGAGGAACACCCCCAACAAAGATGATGGTGAGCATTGGAAACCGAAGGTCCAAAGCTAGCTCTTCTTCCTGGGCACACATAGTCACACATGTCAGATCTGAAATTACTCATATTCTATATTCCAAATCAGATTTTCTGCAAGAGATATATTTGTTTTGCATTGATTGAATAAATACTATTTCTATCATCTCCAGAGGGAATCTTTCTGCTCATGGACTTTTCACCAAAGAACAAATAACAATATAGCACAGGAACAGGCCCTTTGGCCCTCCAAGCCTGCGCTGACACATTTTCCCCTTCCATACTAAATGTGCCTTCACTTACAGGATCCATATCTCTCTATTCCCTTCCTATTCATGTATTTGTCCAGGGTTGCTTCTTGAATGCTATTGCTATATCTGCTTCCACCACCTCCTCTGGCAGTGCATTCCAGCCACTAACCACCCTTATTGTGAAAAACTTGCCTCGCACATCTCTTTTAAACTTTCCCCCCCTCTCACCTTGAACCTTGCCCCCTAGTGACTGACCCCTCCACTCTGGGAAAAGCCTCATATTTTCCACTTTATCCATGCCATTCATAATCTTAAAACTTCTTTCAGGTTGCCCCTCAACCTCCTGCATTCAAGTGAAAACAAACCCATTCTATCCAAGAAAGTAGGAACTGCAGATGCTGGAGAATCCGAGACAACAAGGTGCAGGGCTGGATGAACACAGCAGGCCAAGCAGCATCATAGGAGCAGAAAGGCTGATGTTTCAGGCCTAGACCCTTCATCAGAAAAGGCTTTGGTTAGATCACATGGAATACAGAGAGAACTGGCAATTTGGATACAGAACTGGCTCAAAGGTAGAAGACAGAGAGTAATGATTGAGGGTTGCTTTTCAGACTGGAGGCCTATGACCAACAGTGTGCCTCAAGGATCGGTGCTGGGTCCACTGCTTTTCGTCATTTATGTAAATGATCTGGATGTGAACATAGGAGATATGGTTAGTAAGTGAGCAGATGCCACCAAAATAGGAGGTGTGGTGGCCAGCAAAGAAGGCTGCCTCAGAGTACAACGAGATCTTGATCAGATGAGGAATGAGGCTGAGGAATGGCAGATGGAGTTTAGTTTAGATAAATGTGTGGTGCTGCATTTTGGAAAGGCAAATTAGAGGAGGACTTATATATTTCGTGGTAAGATCCTGGGAGGTGTTGCTGAACAAAGAGACCTTGGAGTGCAGGTTCACAGCTTGTTGAAAGTGGAATTGCAGGTAGATAGGATAGTGAAGAAGGCGTTTGGTATGCTTGCCTTTATTGGTCAGTGCATTGGTTTTAGGAGTTGGGAGTCATGTTGCGGCCGTACAGGACATTGATTAGGCCACTTTTGGAATACTGCGTGCAATTCTGGTCTCCTTGCTATAGGGAGGATGTTATGAAACTTGAAAGGGGTCAGAAAAGATTATTAGGATGTTGCCAGGGCTGGAGAGTTTGAGCTATAAGCAGAGGCTAAATAGAAACATAGAAACAGGGAAAATGGTGCAAGAGAAGGCTATTCAGTCCTTTGAGTCTGTACCACCATTCAACACAATCATGGCTGATCATGCAGTTTCAGTATCCCATTCCCTTGCTCTCCCCATATCCTTTGATCACTTTAGCCGCAAGGGCCACGTCCAGCTCCCTCTTGAATGTATCTAACAAACTGGCCCCCAACAACTTCCTGTGGGAGAGAATTCCACAGGTTCATAACTCTCTGAGTGAAGAAATTCTTCCTCATCTCGGTCCTGAATGGCTTATCCCTTATTCTTAGACTGTGAACCCTTGTTCTGACTTCCCCAACACTGGGAACATCTTCCCACATCCAGCCTGTCCAATCCCATCAGGATTTTATGTTTCTATGAGATTCCCCCCTTATTCTTCTAAATTCCAGCAAATACAAGTCCAGTCAATCCAGTCTTTCCTCATCTGTCAGTCCTGCCATCCCGGGAATCAGTCTGGTGAACCTTCGCTGGACTCCTTCAATAACAAGAATGTCCTTCCTGAGACGAGGAGACCAAAACTGCACACAGTACTCAAGGTGTGGCCTCACCAAGGCCTGTATAACTGCAGCAAGACATCCTTGCTCCAATATTCTCGTTAAGAAGGAGAGCATGCCCATTAGCTTTCCTGACTGCCTGCTGCACCTGCATGCCAACCTTCAGCAACTGCTCCACCATGACATCTATGTCCCGTTGCACCTCACCTTTTCCTAAACTGCCACCATTCAGATAATAATCTACCTTCCTGTTCTTGTGACCAAAGTGGATACCTCACATTTATCCACATGATATCGCATTTGCCCAGTCAGTCTGTCCGAGTCACCCTGCAGCCTCTTAGCATCGTCCTCACAGCACATACTGCCACCCAGCTTAGTGTCTTCTGCAAATTTGGAGATATGGCATTCAATTCCTTTGTCCAAATTGTTATTGTACATTGTGAACAGCTGGGGTCCCAACGTGGAACCCTGCGGCACCCCACTCGTCACCGCCTGCTACTCTGAAAAGGACCCATTTATTCCAGCTCCTGTCTGCCAACCAGTTCTCGATCCATGTCAATACATTACCTCCAATACCATGAGCTTTAATTTTCCTGACTAAATTCTTTTGTGGAACCTTGTCAAAAGCCTGAAAACAACAAATGATGGAGATCACAGCCAGTCAGACAGCATCCACAGAGAGACAGCAAGCTAACGTTTTGAGTTTAGATGACTCTTCATCAGAGCTCTAGACTCGAAACATCAGCCTTTTCTCTCTCCATGGATGCTATCTGACCCACAGTGATCTCCAGCATTTGTTGTTTTCAGTACAGATTCCAGCATCTACAGTAATTTGCTCCGACACCTTGTCAAAACCGTTTTGGAAGTCCAGATACGTAACATCTACTGATTCAACATTGTCTACTGTACTGGTCACATCCTCAAAAAATTTCAGAAGATATGTTAAGCATGAATTCCCTTTAGTGAATTCATCTGACTAGGTCTGATTCTGTCACCGCTTTCCAAATGCTCAGTTATCATATCCTTAATGATTGACTGTAAGCATTTTCCTCACCGCTGATATCAGGCTAACCGGCCTAAAATTTTCCATTTTCTCTCTCACTCCATTTTTAAAGAGTGGAGTTACATTAGATACCCTCCAGTCCATTAAAATTCTTCCAGAGTCTACAGAATGCTGGAAAATGATCACCAATGCATCTGCTATTTCTAGGGCCTCTTCCTTAAGTACTCTGGGATGCAGAGCATCAGGCACTTGGGACTTAATGAGTTTTAATCAATGTCCTCAATACCATTTCCTGACTAATAAGAATTTCCTTTAGTTCCTCCTTCATGCTTGACCCTCTCCCCCCAAAATTTCCTGGAGATTATTTGTGTCCTCCTTAGTGAAGACTGATCCAAAGTATTTGTTCATTATGAATTTGCATATATTTGTCTTCACTGGTCTTTTTCTCTTCACATATCTATAGAAGGTTTTGCAGTCAGTTTTTATGTTTTCCACAAAGTTACCTTCATATTTTATTTTCCCTTTCCAAATTAAACCCTTTGTCCTCCTCTGCTGAATTTCAACTTTCTCCCTGTCCTCGGGTTTGCTGCTTTTGCTGGCCAATTTATATGCATCCTCTTTGGCTTTAACACTGTTCCTGATTTCCCTTGTTAGCCATGGTTGAGCCACCTTCCCTGTTTTATTCTTACACCAGACAGGGATGTACAATTGTTGAAGTACATCCATGTGTTCTTTAAATGTCTGCCATTGCCTATCCACCATCAACCACTGAGGTATCCTTGGCCAGTTTATCCTAGCCAATGCATGCCTCGTACCATAGGCTGGGGCTATTTTCCCTGGAGTGTCTGAGGCTGAGGGGTGACCTTATGGAAGTTTATAAAATCATGATGGGCATGGATAGGGTAAATAGACAAGGTCTTTTCCCTGGGGTGGGGGAGACCAAAACTAGAGGGGAAAGATTTTAAGGGACCTAAGGGGCAACTTTTTCATGCAGAGGGTGGTGCGTGTATGGAATGAGCTGCCAGAGGAAGTGGTGGAGGCTGGCACAATTCAACATTTAAAAGGCATCTGGATGGGTATATGAATAGGAAGAGTTTAGAGGGATATGGACCAAATGCTGGCAAATGGGACTAGATTTATTTAACATTACTCGTTGGCATGGGTGAGTTGGACCAAAGGATCTGTTTCCATACTGTACATCTCTATGACTCGAAAATATAATCGGAATGAGATGTTCTGTATAACAGAGTGGGAAGTAGATGGGGTTCTGTATAATAACACAGGAATGAGATAGAGGTGGTCTGTATAGAATAGTGGGAATAAAACAGGCGTCTGTAGTGTGAAAATGAGACAGGGGTCTGTATAACCGAGTGTGAATGAGTTGGGGGTCTGCATAATAGAGTGGGAATGAAATGTGAGTCTGTTCACCAGAGTTTGAATGAGATGGGGTCTAAATAACAGAGTGGGAATGAGATGACGGTCTGTATGACAGAGTGGAAATGGGATTAGGGGGGTTCTGTACAACAGAGTGGAAATGAGACAGATGTCTGTGTAAAAGCAGAAATGAGACAGGATCTAAATAACAGAGTGGGAGTGGGATGGGGGTCTCTATAACAGAGTGGGAATGAAATGGGGATTCTGTTAAAACAGTGGGAATGAGACGAGGAGGTTTTTATAACAGGTGTTAATGAGATGGGGTGTAAAATTGCAGGTGCATAATCTCCTCAGTATATCATTCTGGATACTTTTATTAATAGTGCTGTAAGAGTCCGAGTGTGAATGATCTGTCTTCTCTCACCTTATGGTTGACTGAAGTCACTGAGGATCTGTTAGATTCTAAGTTGCAGCTCCCTTCATAGGTTGAATGGAAGTCAATCAGGGATAGCTTCTTTCCTGCAATATCGATAGATGTTCTGCTGACACCAACCATTCCATGGTAAATTCTGACTGTACATGCTGACCACCAAAGTTCTTGGACATAAAGGCATCTTTTTGCAAACTGCCCTTACACATGCACAATCCACAATTAAATAGTTGATGAAATAACTCAAACTGTAAGGTCACATTTTCACAATTGGTAATAAACAAGGAAATCAAGCAGAATCATTTTAAAAGAAGCATTTCCTCTCTGTCTCCTTGTCCTTTCCCACCACTTCCTATAGGCCCCCCTTCCCTTTCCCATCGCTTCCCTCTCTTTGCCCATCTCTGAACCCCATTCCCCCACCTCCTCCCAACTTCTTTTCTTCCCACACCCAACATCAAATGCCCTCTCACCCACCCTCTTCCCCTCCTGCTCACCAATACTTTTATCGTGGTCTGTGTCTTGTGTTGTCCGTGATTTCATATCTTTCACCTCCTGTGGCAGTAAAACATCATAATTCCAGTTGTTATAAATCCTTGGTATTGGCTGCACGCCTGGAAAAAATGAAATGAAGACATTACAATTGTACGGGTTTCTATGAGATTCCCCCCTCATTACTTTAAACTCCAATGAATATAGTCCTTTCTGATCCAGTTGCTTTTCATACATCAGTCCTACCATCCAAGGAATCATTCTGGCGAACCTTTGTTGCACTCCATGTAATGGCCAGAAAGTTTTTCCTCAGATAAGGAGACCAAACCCGCACACAATACTCCAGGTGTAGTCTCACCAAGGCCCTATACAATTGCGGTAAGATGACCCTGGGACTGTACCCGAATCCTATTGCTACGAAGGCCAATATACCATTTGCCTTCTTTGCTGTCTATTGTACCTGCATGCTTACTTTGACTGATTGATGTACAATGACTTCCTGTCTCCCAGCTCTCATTGCACCTTCCTTTTCCCCATCTATCACCATTCCGATAATAATCTGTTATCCTGTTTTTGCTACCATAGTGGATAACCTCACATTTATCTACATTACACTGCATCTGCCATGCATTTGCCCAATCATTCAACTTGTTCAAATCACTTTAAAGCATCTCTACATCCTCCTCACAGTTTACCCACCCACCCAACTTTGTGTCATCTGAAAATTTGGAGATATTACATTTAGTTCCCTCATCTAAATCATTAATATATATCATGAATAGCTGGTGTCCAAGCACTGATCCTTGCAGTACCCCACTAGTAACTGGCTATCACTTAGAAAAACATTCATTTATTCCTATTCTCTGCTTCCTGTCTGTCAACCAATTTTCTATCCATATCAGTACACTGACCCCAATCCTATGCATTTTAATTTTACATGCCGGTCTCTTATGACAGACTTTAGTGAAAACCTTCTTTCCCTTTCGTACGTCCATGCTGATTCTGTCCAAACCATTTTCCCAACTGTTCAGCTATGAAACATTTTGAATGGACTCTAGACATTTTCCCCATTAATGATGTCAGGCTAGACAGGAAGAGATAAAGGGAAAGAAGGACATGGAGAGGGAACAGAAAGGCACGAAGGAGCATGAAAAAGGGCATGTGCAGAAGGCCATGAGCAAATGAGGCAGGGATTTCGACAGGAAGACAGGATGGAAGAGGAGCTTGGGAAAGCTCTGTAGAAACCACATGCCCTCTCTGTCACACAGACACAGACACTCTTGGTATGTGAAGGAGGCAGAGTGAGGAAGACTCTGAGCTATATGCTTTGGAGAGCTCCACATGTGTGATTGTGGTGTAATTTCCTACCATACTCCAATGGCGTGCATCACATCGGATTTCCACTCCATCTCACCACTCACCAGACATCCTGCAAATCATCAGCATCCTATGCACCAGCATCATCTTTAAAAGCCCACTGAGCACCCAGACAAGCCCTGTTAGTCTGGAGCTGCCCTGCACAGTTGCTGACATTTGCCCCAGACATGGCAGATAAGGAAAACCTGGCTCACCACTTTGTGGGCAGGAACCTGGAGGTCCTGCTGGACAAGATGGTGAAGACACAGGATTCCCTCTTCCCCCAAGGACCAGCAGTGGAGGTCACAACAGCAGACCATGCTAGCCTGGTGCGAGGTTGCCATGTGAATGCCCACCACTGTAGGAGGAAGGTCAATGATCTTCTTTATTCCACTAATGTTATTGTCACCTTCTTCTCTCAGATACCTCACACTCTTACAGTCATGTCGACCAGGTTTCCTAAACTGAACTCGTTTAATTTGCCTGCATTTGGCCCATGTCCCTCTAAACTTTTCCTATTAATATACCTGACCAAATGTCTCTTAAACGTTGTAATTGTTCTCACTACTACCACTTCCTCTGGCTACTTGTTCCATATATGCATCACCCTCTGAATGAAAAACTTGCCCTTCAGGTTCCTATTAAATCTTTCCCCTCTCACCTTAAACCTATGCCCCCCCCAGTTTTGAACTCCCCTACCCTGGAGAAAAGACCTTGGTTGTTTACCTTATCTATGCCCCTCATAATTTTATAAACTTCCATAAGGTTACCCCTCAGCCTCCTATGCTTTCAGGAAAAAAGTTCCAGCCTATCCAGTCTCTCCTTAAAATTCAAACCCTCTAGTCTTGGTAACATCTTTGTAAATATTTTTCGCACCATTTCCAGTTTAATAACATCCTTCCCAAAGCAGGGCAACCAGAATTGTATGCAGTACTCCAAATGTGGCCTTACTAATGTCTTGTATACAGCCGTAACATGACATCTCAAATCCTGAACTCAATACTCTGACCGATGAAGGCAAGTGTGCCAAACGACTTCACCACCCTGTCTACCTGCGACACCACTTTCAAGGAACTATGTACCTGCACCGCTAGGTCTCTCTGTTCAACAAAACTCCCAAGGGCTCTACCATTAACTATGTAAGTCCTGCTTTGGTTTGTCTTACCAGAATGCAACACCGCACATTTATCTGAATTAAACTCCATCTGCTATTCCTTGGCCTACTGGCCCAGATGATCAAAATCCCATTGTACTCTTAGATATCCTTTTTCACTGTCCACTATAACCACCAATTTTGGTGTCATCTGCAAATTTACGAACCTATATTCTCAACTAAATTGTTTAGGAGTCAGGAGGAACTTCTTCACCCAAAGGGTTGTGAATCTGTGGAATTCCCTGCCCAGTGAAGCGATTGAAGCTACCTCGCTGAATGTTTTTAAGGCAAGGCTAGATAAATTTTTGAACAGTAAATGAATTAAGGGTTATGGTGAGTGGGCGGGTAAATGGAGCTGAGTCTCAAAAAGATCAGCCATGATCTTATTAAATGGCGGGGCAGGCTCGAGGGACCAGATGGCCTACTCCTGCTCCTAGTTCTTCTGTTCTTATATAAATGATGAACTACAGTGAACTCAGCACCAATCATTGCGGCACACTGCTGGTCACAGGCCTCCAGTTTGAACAACAACCTTTACCACCATCCTCTGTCTCCCACCACCAAGCCAATTTTGTAACCAATCGGCTAGCTCTCCCCATGAAATCTAATCTTGTTAACTAGTCTACTATGCAGTACCTTGTTGAAGGCCTTGCCAAAGTCCATATAGACGACGTTGTCCGCTCTGCTTTCATCTATCTTCTTGGTCACCTCTTCAAAAAACTCAATCAAATTTATGAGACATGATTTCCCATGCACAAAGCCATACTGACTATACCCAATCAATCATTGCCTTTCCAGAAGCATGTAGATCCTGACTCTCAGAATATCCTTCGACAACTTACCCATCAATGACGTTAGGCTCACTGGTATGTAGTTCCTTGGCTTTTCCTTGCAGCCTTTCTTAAATAATAGCACAACATTAGCCAAACTCCGGTCTTCCAGCACCTCACCCGTGGCTGTTGATGATACAAGTATCACTGCTGAGGGTCCCACAATTTCTGCCCTAGCTTCCCTGGGATACACTTGATCAGGTCCTAGTAATCTATCTACCTTTATGTGTTTAAGATAAGACCTCCAGCAATTCCTCTTCTGTAATGTGGGCTCTTTTCATGACATCACTATTTATTTGCCTGAATTCCCTCGCTTCCACATCTTTCTCCACAGTAAATAGTGACACGAAATATTTGTTTAGGATCTCACCTATTTCCTGTAGTTCCTCACATAAGTGGCCTTGTTGATTTTTAAGGGGCCCTATTCTCTCCTTAGTTATTCTTTTGCCCTTAACGTATTTGTAGAACCTCCTTGGATTCTCCTTTACCCTATCTGCCAAAGTTATCTCATGTCCCCTTTTTGCTCTCCTAATTTCTCTCTTAAGTACAGTCCTATACTCCTCAAGGGATTCACTCGATTCCAACTGTCTGTACCTGACATATGCCTCCTTCTTTTTCTTGACCAGAGTCTCAATATCTCTAGTCATCCAGTGTTCCCTACTCCTATCAATCTTGTCTTTCACTCTACCAGGAGAATGCTCGCCTGAACTCTCATTATCTCACTTTTGAAAGCCTTTGATTTGCCAGACAGCCATCTGCCTCCCCCAATCAACCTTTGAAAGTTCCTTTTTAATGCCACTAAAATTGGCCATGCCCCAATTCAGCACTGGGACTGGACTGGTATTGGAGGCTGCTCTTGACCCACTGTGCTGGGACTCCCAAGTAAAGGCTATCCCCCTTGACTTGACTGAGGCCTGCTGACAACCATAATAAGCCTTTGTGTCAATGCTTAACAGCATTGAGGGGGCACAGTGCAAAGCAAGGCAATGCAGGCAGGATGCTGTGAGTATGCAGACAGACTCAAAATGAGCGAGTGCTATGACAGTGAGTGAGGAGCCTGGAGATGCAGCTTAATTCAGTCCATAAGCTGGGTGTGTGTTCCTGAGTGCACAGCATCCTTGCTGCAGCATTACCATAGTATAATGGAAGCCCAGGGTTCAGCAAAGAATTGCAGAAGCATCCTGTAAGTGAATCGGAGATATGCCATAGGTGTTCTTATAGACTGGCACATGTCAAATGCCAATGTTGTGGATGTGAGATGTGTGTGGCCAGTGCACATGGAGATCCTTCAGAGCAAGTGGAAAGCTGAAATTCACCAGTACCCACTCTAACTTCCATGTTGACGTTTTCATGATGTCCAGCTTGTTTGGTAAGATAGGATGTTAAAAGTTAATGAGGCGAGTTGGGCCATTAACATTTACTAAGCAATAATCCCCTTAATTGGCAACTTTGCCACCGCCTAGTGAGAAACTCACCTCGCGAAGAAGTGGGATTCTTTCAACGTCAGGATGGGCCTTGCTAGACTTCTCATCTGATTCTGCCACAAACCTTACCATAGACAATGTCACTCAGACACTATTAGGTTCTGCCAAAAGTGATTATTTAGCTTCTCTGCCATGCCTCAATTTCATATAAAATTTCTTATCTCTGCCTGCAATGGACCCACAACTGGTCTTTCTAAACTTCTCCTTTTCACATAAGTATAGAATCTGTTATAATCTATTTTTACATTTTTTGCTGGTTTTCATTCATATTGTTTCTGTCTTTCCTGATCAATTTTTTG